CAGACTCTGCAGTCTAAACATCAAAACCTGTGTCTGATTGAGATGATGTACTGTATGGGTGTTACAATAAAAGTGATACTTGCATATCTCAGGATATGTCTTACCTTTCTGTGTTCATTGGCCATTGTTTAATGGTTAGAAAACTATAGAGCCAATCAGTGCTTCATAGGCGGGAAACTGTGCCAGAGCCAAAAGAATCAGCCAACAGAATATTGAAAGTAGACTATACAGAAAACTTAAAATGTATCATTTCTTCAAACTACGTGGAAAACATTTGCTGAAAAGAATGTTAGTGGGTCGGATACTATATGTTGCGATATGTAAAAAAGATCCTCCTACCCACATGATGGGTGATAAAGCTGGAAAAAATATATTGCAATATCAAGTAAATATTAACCGGCTTCCAAAAAGTGGTGTTTTAGCAATATGGACTGTGACCATAATGACTTCTTTTAAAGCTGGACAATCGGTGTTGATTAATATGCCACTATTAACTTACAGCGTGTCTGCGTCTGTCAAACCTATCTCACAGAAAAGTTCCTATTTTAAAACTCTACAGCTGTTTATCGGCCGCCCACCACCTCACCTTTCACTTGCGCTATAAGTGCGTGAACACGACCCAAAGCTCTGAGCACTGCCAAACATGGATGACCTACACGTAATAATGTGCATCTTTAGAGGACTGAAGCTGCTGCTCTGCTAACGGGCTGCTCACACGACACCTCCGGTGTAGACACAGTGTTACCTTTACAGCTAGCGCTGATTGCGCTGTATGTATTTTTATATCCAAGACACAATCACACTTAATTAACTCATGTACAACTGCCAAAAACATTGAATTGAGAGCATACATTTTGCATCATGTACTCAAAAAACCTCATAGCTGAAAAACATTTAACCATTCACTTGGAAATATTCAGAAGAGAACATTGTTAAACATAGATATGTCATTAATGTAACAAGCGCTGATTAAACTTAATACAGGTGCATACAGATTTCACTTTAAACGAAGAGAGCTGTCAAACACATTCTTAATTAACTAACTTTTGATATATGTTAAACAAATATTAAGTCTCAGAAAAGGACAGCCTAAAATATACTGCAAGTCTTCAGTGCTGCAGTGAAAGGCTCTCATTCTTTTAGTAACATATCCTGAGGACTCATAATATAGTCTTTCAGAGGACTACTTTACGCCCCCATCCCCCAAAGACACACACACACACACACACACACACACACACACACACACACACACACGTAGTACCTGTCCTGTGTCAGCACCTCAGTGTTGTGGCTCTGCTGTGTTTCCCACCAACGAGTCCAGCTGACTGACTTTCTTCTCTTTGCCTCCGCTGTATGCTCACAACTGGCACAGCTCTCTCCCCATTCAGTGGCCAAGCAGCCCATCTGCAAAGACAGAGGGAGGGAAAATGAGGGGAAAAAAAGAGAAACATGAGAGGAAAGCCAATGGATGTGAATGAGAAGAAAAAGGAAAAGAGAGACAGATTGCTTTGAGAATGCAGATTGTCAGGAGCTGCATTCTTAAAAGCCAATGTGCACGGAGTAAAAATCGCAGAGTTAAACTAATTTGATTCCACGTTCCCTTCAGTGCTGCGGTTTCCTTTTCTATTCATTTGTCCGCATTTTAGCTTTGATCACAAGTCGGGCTGCCAGGCACTTAAATCACAATCTAAGGGATTTTTATCTTACAGCCTTTCAATGCACAAAGCATTAGAACACATATAAAATTCACAATAAGATGCAGGATAACAAAACTATCATGGAAAAACACAATGGATGATGCCAATTGTCGCTGCCTTAAACTAATAAGAGACACAAAGACAGTAGAATAGTGGCAACACAGGGCAGGGAAGAATCTACAGCTAGACCGAGCTAGACATATCGCTATCTGCACATGTGTTGGCCAATAAGCAACAAGATATTGCAGTACCGAAAGGCGGAAAATATGTTTGAAGTCATTCAGAAACAATGCTAAGATTATATCATTTGTTTGCCACAACTGAAAAATTAGAAATGTATAATTTTCAGATTTTTCTACCTTTAAAAATCTACCTAAAAAAAAAAAACTGCTGTTCAAAATACTAAACAAGGTGAACAACTATGTCAAAAATTCACAGGCAATTGAACAAATTCTGTCGAAGTGCCCTTGTGCAAGGCATTCATTCTCAACCACTCTAGCGGGAGCTACACATTAGAAAAAGACAGGCTGTGGTTGGAGTAGGTAGCACTCAGGTGTTTAATTTACCTAGTATACACACACCTATGAGAGAGTGCTGTCAGTTTTCTCATATTGCTTTATAAAAAGGGAACAAAGTGCAGATTTGTGTACTTGTTTTACTGCTGATGAATAGTTCTAACCCAACCAACCACTTCAGCCATGTTTGTAATGCAAGTTAATCACTGTATAGTTTAGGTCCTTATCAATGAGGGGTTGATGTACCGGTAATTTCGACAACTCTCTGTAACCACGTCACTGCCCTTGAGGACGGGAAGGTCGGAGCAGAGAAGAGGACAGCTCGATACCCTCGAGGTTCTAAGAATTTAGCAACTTCCACAAAAACATTTGCTGACGAGGGGACTTGAACCCAGTTCCTCTGAAGGACACTCTTCCCGCTGACAATACACCCTGCGGTCCAAAAGGTACATTAGTCATATGCCAACGTCGCCTTTGAATTCACTGAACCTTCTTCTTAAAATAAAAAAAACCACCAACACCGTGTGACAACATGTCAACACCAGTTATTAGTATAGTTACTGTATAGTCAACCCTGAATTAAACAGTCAAATTCGTAATGCTCAGTGACATTGTGCACCCCGTGATGTGACCTCTCTCCATACTGCTCACATGGTTTTCTGTACTTAACCCTCATCCTACCAACATGTTTAACACATAGCTATAAACTACTGTAAGAAACATTATTATTAACATTATTATTTAAGGAATTAATGGCATCTTCTTCTTCTTCAAAAAAAAAAAAAGACCTCCGAATCTAGTTTGCAAAAAAAGCCATGCTGAGAACGAAGACAAATGATTGATGGATGATAGAATGAAAATTGACTTAACAGCAATCTCACACACAGCTGGAAACCAGGGATAGTTCATTATCCAACACCATTCCTACTTCTCATGAAGTTTATTCCAGAGGGAGCATTGTCCGCCAAAAAAACTTGGAAACTAAAAGGGGTAAATCAAGGACATGTGACTTACGTATTTAGGAGAATTTGCTTAAAAGCACCAACAACTCGAAATATGCAGGGCCTCGTCCTAAGAAGAATCCTTAGCTTTAATAGCAGACCACCTCAAGGTGTCACTCAGAGAGAGCCAGGACATTCTGATGTAGCATTTCAAAATTAAAGCCCTTCAAAATCTCATACATGAGCTTACTTCAAATCACATTCATGAGACAATTTGTCTAATTTCAGATGAGATTTTAGAGGAAATAGTGCTGAGTTACAAAATCATTTCACTTCAGTTTGAGCCTTGGAGAAGCACCCACTGTACGGTTTACAGCTTGAATACATTGATATCAGCACCAACACACCTGCTTTCAATCACGGCATGATATTAGCTACACCTGTGCCGTTTCTCTTGCAAAGTCTCCACCTCTCATGCAAAACGTGCGAGTCAAGTTAGATAAGTACATCTTACCGTTTGTTTACTTACTTTTCAACTTGTCTTCTTGCTGGTTGAAATATTTCGGGCCCAACTGAGTTTAAATTTTCGAGGTAACACTAAATTTACGAAGAAACCTTACCACTGCCTCGCGCTCTGTTAATTAGGACCGGTCGCACGCAGGACGCGCGGCCAGGAGTGTAGACATACTGACGTCAATAATCATTTCCCATCAACCCACTAACCCCTCCTCAAAAACCAGACACCAATAATAAAGTGAAAAAATGTTTTAAATGATTGACATTTGTTTATCTATTTCTTAAGAATTTATTGATACTCAATATTTCAGAAAATGTTTCAACTTATCTGTTTAAAAGCTCTTCAGATTTAAATATATGACCGGAAACTGTGACGGAGTGTCAGGGCCACTTTCAGGGGAAAAAATCAAGTCAAAGTATTTCTGAATAAAACGTCACAATATTATTAGAATAATATTACAAGATTGAGCTCATGATATAATAGGATAAATTCACAGTAATACAAGAAAAATATAATAAAATGTTGTATGCAATTGGACTGGGTAGACTTGATTCCTGAAATATCTAATGTACACCTACTATTACATTGACTTTATTCTCAAAATGTCCGCTTGTGTTACTCCTGACATAGCCGTAATGCTCTGCCATGGGAATTGCATGATAAAAACACACCATGTGTATGTTTAGTTGGAGAATGTTGACCACCAAATTGACAAAAAAAGAAATGGAGCCGTATCTGTAAAATGATTTGTCAGGATTTAGGAACAAAAAGATGGTCAGGACAGACAAGGCACCTACGCTAAAAAAGAATGAACCTGCAAACAATTCCTCTGCAAGTTTATTAATTATGTGGGCTGTTTTTGAGAACTTCTAGTATATTTGTTTTAGTGGGGATATTAGGCACACAATGTGCACCCATCTGCTATGTGTATTTTATAATTAAGATCATTTAACCTCTTGAAATGTATCCAGCAACATTTAGAAAAAAAAATCTGTCCATATTCAGCTCAGATTAATGGCCCTGATGCCACCTCTATTTCTTTTCTACAAGTACAAATTTCTATTTTTATCCCATCCTCGCAATCATAAGCCCCAAAAAAATGTGAATCATTTCAACAAACAGAGGCAAAGCAATTAAACTTGTCTGCCTGTGTTAATGAGATGTTGAGTGTTGAATGGATTTGGTCTCATGAGAAGTGTCCGTAATTGCTTGCTTGATTTTGGTTCGCGAGATATGAGTTGCTAGAAATTATCTGGCATACTTGTCTTCCATACTTGATGAGCAGCAGTGCGATGTGCAAATTATACATAATAAAAGACAGATTTGTTTGAACAATATATTTATTATGCTTGTCAACACATAGGCAACAATAAAAAGTTTGGCACAAAGACTAAACATCTGACTTCTGAAGACCAAAGAAAGAAGTGTCCCTATCTTGCGCTACCTTAAATCATCTATCAGAGCATAATCAGTGTATTGGAGGCAGGAAAGACACCATCTAACTCTCTTATTGCCTGCCAGGTTTGAAGACTTGTAAGTGTGATGCTATTATGAATAACTCTCTTTCTTTTTCTATAAGATTGAATGTTGACCTTTAAAACAGTTGGAAATCTGTCCTGACAAAAGTGATTGAAAACAGGAAACCTGAGGCTGCACCTGGGCATCAATGATTTGAATTTTGTAAGTCATCCACTCTAAAGAACACCACGGAGTAAAGGAATCATCACACTGGGAGACAAAACGAGGTCCAAGAATAACTTCCACCAGAAGTCTCTTGAAATAGGTAACACTGCAAATGTAGTGTTACCTATTCAGACTCTTTATTGTTCAACCAAGCATTCTTTTCACAAAAAAAATCAATATGTGCGTTAAACAGTAAGAAACTTACAAACCCAAAACTCTCCAGACTTAACACCATTCACATTTGTTCTTTACAGTGATCCCATAGTTAACATATGTAAACTAGCACGACATGTGTTAATGCTGTTGCCGTACAGGTTGACTTGGTTTAGTCCCTGAATTTGTTGCACTGACGATCCTACGAAGAATCTTCTAGTTGGGAGACGGGACGTGTCTCCTGAGCGCGCCAAGGATGATTAAGAATGCCGTTGGAGCTGCAACCACGGCGACAGCAGTGGAGAACTGTGGGAAATAACATGACTCAAATTTGACGTCACAATAATGGTGCTGTACTTTGGCCAGTGATGGAGAGCAAATAAGTACATTTACACAAGTTCTGTATTTAAGTACAATTTCCAGGTGCTTTACTTGAACATTTCAATTGTATGCTACTTTATATTTCTCCCACATTTCACAGGGAAATATTGTGCTATTGAACTTATTATTAGTATCTGACAGCTATAGTAACAAGTGACTCATTTCTTTGAGGTTATGTTGTTTAGGTTATGAAATTGGATGCATTGTTGTGAACTAAAGTACCTAACAATACGTTGTAAGAAAAAGGAAACATAATAGTTAGTGACCAGCTACAAAATGACTTGATACACAAAAAATGACTGCATGTATTTCAACCAAACTTGTCTGTACTGGATCAAGTAAATAAGCAGAATTTCTTTTATTGAACATTTATATCTGGAGTGCACCTTTGAGCTACAGGAGGGAGCCTGAACATCTGTATTGTGCTGATAATTGACTTTGTTTGTTTTACTGATGAGAGGAAATGAAATGGCCTGTTAACTCCTTCTGAATTCATCTATTTGGTCCCATTTATAAAGTATTTGTATATACAGTATATATTTGCATATATTTTTTTAATAACGTGCATAAAACTAAGCTGTGATTTATCAAACATATATCTCTTTGAAAATGGCTGGCTTACCTATTCAAGATAAAATCTGGTGCCCAGATAAAAAGTTAGAGAAACACTGCACTAGATGAATATATGATGATAATAACGATTATCAGAAGGTAGTTTTATTCATATGGAACTTTTTATTAAAACCTAACTGCATGTGCAAACACCCAACCAAAGACCAATACTAAGACGATAAGTCTTTCAAATGTATCTTGAGGATATCACACGAACCTTAATAGCAGCACTATAGTCCTTTTGGAACGATCGAAGATACACATTGAAGAGGGCGAGGCTGCAAGGCAAGTATGAATCGGTATCCTCTGAGTCTCTGCATCTTTGGGAAGAAAATAAAGAATTATTTTTCTTACAGATTTACATTAAAAACGGCAAACTGCACTTACAAAACTGGTGTATAAACGCATACAGTTCAAACACACCTTTTGTACAAAGTGCTTAGGAGCAAACTGTTGTCTGCCAGGTACAGCTCAGAAAGGCCAAGGTCAATCAATACTGACAGCGGCAGCCTGTAACCCTCCTCGGCAAGGAGGCCAAGGTTGTACCATCCCTGTGGAAGAACAGTATGGCTCACACACACGCTCCATTGTAAATAGAAACAGACTTGGAAAAAATACACACAAACATTGCCAGAAAATCAATTTCAAAGAAGCAGACCTGTGGCTCGTTCCTCAGTGCTGCCAGAGTGTACATCGCTGCTGCAGAAAACAAGTCTTTCTGCCCGTCTCTTTGCCCTTCATACAACAGGTCACCCATCCTAATCAAGGCTGGAGTTGGAGGTAAAAATAAAGAAGCATTTTAAGTATGAATGTTACCGTTCAAGTTTCCAAAAACTGAAGCCTCAAAGAATAGTAATTTACCATAGATGTCAGGATTTTGACTTTGGAGTGTAAGGTTGTAATATCTCCACATACAGTTTGATGCAAAAGAAGGATCCAGAAAATCGAACTAAGGACATACAGAGTAAGAAATGTTGTTTTGATGACAAGAATAAATAAAACCATGACACTATAGCTTATAGGGATAACTCACCATATTTTGTTCACATAGATATGCCACATTGAATTGGGCAGGTGAGTACCCGGACTCAGCAGCCATCATGTAATATAACAGTGAGCTGAACCTGTGGAAAAGCTAGACCGTTAATGCGACGACTGAAATCAAGTGGCCTGATCAGGATCGTGCCAGGTGTGAATGGAGAAAAAGATTACATGTCACTCTTGAGATATGAATCCAAGGCCTTCCGCAAGATGCTGCCCAGGTATCCGTTGTGCTCTGCTGCCCACTTTGCCCACCTGCAGTCAGTTAAAAAGACACCTCAGTCACGACATACTGTCAGGACAAATCATGTTTGTGCAGTGAAATGAATAAATGAGAGGGTCAGTGGCTAACAAAAGTGCATCTGATGGACGTCTGTTGACGCATCCAGGTATCCCAGTGATCCAGATGCTGGCGAGGAGAATCGCTGCCCTGATGTGGCCTCTCTCTGCAGACTTCCGATAGTACCGATAGGCCGTACACTGCAGGAAGGACGGATGATTAACCTCCTCATATCAGCCTTTTAGTCTGTAAGCATGCTAGTAGAAGGTCACACAAAGCATTCATACTTGGGCTAACCTGGTCTGCAGCTTTTCCTGGATACAAGCCCTGTGAGTACATGACACCGAGATTCAAAGCAGCGTCTGATGACTCCAGGAGGTCCGCCCGCTCCCACAGCTGCACCGCCTGCTCGTAGTCTTGCTCAAAGTGCTCATAGTACCAGGCCAGGGCACTGATTGCAGGAACAAAGTCCTGTGGGACAGAATAGTGTAAGAAGTCAGATTGGGAGTGAAAACTTTGAATGGGTTTTTGCAACAGAAATCAGACTCCTCCTGTTACAGAATGAAAACGAAATGAGTAATAACGATGTAATTAACATTTCATCATACACAACCTGGTCCATTGCTTTCTTCAGGAAAGTGAGAGCTTTTGGAATGTCCTTTTCAACCCCTTGCCCCTACAGAGAAACAAATTAATATTTAATAATAAGAGCCAATACTAAATGACAAAACTAAATAGAAAGTACTATTTCAGTAGGTTAAAATATTGTCATGTTTCTCATTGCAGTTCCCACCTGTAGCAGGACTATGCCATAGTCATACATTGACACTGGGTCCTCCCACTTGACAGCTCCCCTTTCGTAGTGTCTCACAGCCTTCTGGATGTCTGGAGACACTCCCTGCTGACCCCAGAACAGCATGCGGGCAACAGCTTGCTGGAAAACAGTTGTTGAATGATTGATAAAAAATGTTCAAGATAAAACATCCTCACCTTCTGCGAGTGGCCCCCTTTCATCCTCTTATCGCACTTGTTTTTATCTGACTTTCCATGCTTGTGTACTTTCAGCTTAAAAAGCAGAGATGACAGAACAGGCTACCTCGGCGTCAGCTGCTCCCCTGCCTGCCTGCAGTTTCAGCCATTGGAAGATATGATGGTCTTCCCTGGTCTGGAGATTCAACACCTCATCATTGTTCAGGTAAACGGCCTCAACAAATGTCTAAAATAAAAAGAAAGAGGAGAGAGAAAACACACAACATTTTTGAAAGGGTTTTCTTTTATTTTCCTTTCTAAAACAGTGACAAATAGTCCAGAAATGCAGCTGACAAAGATCAACGTATTGATGATTGAAATCTGAAAACTATGGCCACAATAAGGAGAGCAGAAAATGTATTAACATATCACATATCAGCTCATACGATTGCAATAACAGTGTCCTCCCAGCCCCTGCGTTACAATTGCTGTATGCTTTATTACACAACAATGTTATTTTGTGTCAGATTCTTCACGTTTCATTTTTATGATCATTTAAATTATGCCTTTAATAATGATGTGTATTAGGAAAGAAACTGTTAATATTGACTCACACAGAAAAGTGACGGACATGTAAAAAAGGTACAACATACAGTACTGTTGGATCAAACAAGACCTGCAAAACGAGCACAGCAAAGCATCCAGTCACAAACGCATGCATTACCTGCTGTGGTGTGGGATTGTGACGGTCTAGAATTGTCTGTTGAGCTATGTTTGCATAATAGGCGTAGGCCAAGTCCGGGTCTGTGAGGAGGCCATGGAGACCCTGGTGGTGCAGGTGCCCGAGATGCAGGAGTGCTAATCGCTCATCCTTCTGGGCTGCCAGCAGGGCCAGGAGCCAGGCCTGCACCAAACACAAGGGCATGAGAGGATATTAAAAAAAAAATAAAAAATGTGTCCACCCCAGGCAGAGTTCTACTATAGCTGACGCAGTAACACACACACACACACACACACACACACACACACACACACACACACACCTTATTGGGCTGTTCCTCAACTCCCAGGCCAGCACTGTAGAGCACTGACGACATGTGCAGAGCTCGGTTATCAGCTAAGCAGCCGGCTTGGAGCAGCAGAGGCAATATTCTGCTGACCACTCCAGTGTTGCTCGCTCTGCTCAGCTTATGAAGCGATAAGGAGTACAGGGCTCTGCCCACAGCTGGCAGGCTAGCTCGCCTTTCTCCTGCAAGTCAGGAATTGAACTGATTTCAGTGCTGTATGTGAAATGAGACATGATATCATCAGTGAATGATAAGCAGGAAATAATGTTTACTCAGCCCCATGAGAAGCGAAAGGGTCAGTCATTACAAACTCGTGCTGTGCTGCCAAACTTTGTTCAAACCCAACAGATCATATGTGTTGAATCATCAATATGGTATCCTGTATTTATGGCAGTGTTGTAGCGCTCATGTTTCAATTCAAACAGCGTATAATGCAAAGTGAATTATTGTCGCCATCACCTTCATATGTTGTACAAATCCATTTTTGTGCAGTGTATCTCTCACCATGTTTGAAAACCAAAAACTTGGCCAGTTTTGCAGCTTGTCTCCTATGAGGGACAGTCGTCTCCCACAGCTCACACTGTGTCTTTGACGGCCGTCTGTCCTTCACCATCCACTCATGGAAAGCATCGAAACAAGTCTCTGAAAACAACACATCATTGACAGTTTCTTTACACACTCAGGGGATCTGCAGAGTATTTCAGACACAGTAACTCTAGCACCATCTAGTGGATATAAAAGCCTACTACCAGACTCTGTCCCCTGTTGGGCCTGGAGAGAATAGCCCCTGATTTTAACATCCATCTCCAGACGGAATTCTTGACAGGTATGCAGCCAGCCTGTCAGGTTCACAGTCCTGATAACATCTGGAACAACAACGTCATCCTAGAGAAGAGGAAAACGATCAGACTCCGATGTAGAGAGCACTCAACATGGACATTAACTCTGGGCAGGTGCAGGACCTCACCATGCTGTCGGATGGTATTTGGTTGCGGTAGTAAACCACAGGCCCAAAATAACCTTCCACACCTCTTATGTATTTCCCTCCACCGATCACAAAATATCCCTCAGTGTCATCCAGCACGACGATATGCTCCAACCTGTAAGGCACAATGCAGACATTTCTTTAATTCCTGTTGTTAATGTAGTGTAATTTGTCATGTCTGAGGTAGGCTTACATTTGTACTATCGAATGGACCGTTCTCTGCTCGTTATTCACGCACACCATGGAGACAGTCACCTGAGACGCACAAACATGACAACGACCACTTCATTTCTCCATGTTACACACCAAGAGGACATCTTGTGTCAAGGAGAGACCACTCACCATTCTACCGCGCAGCCTCACACTGATTTGGCACCACTCACTTAAAGGCACCTTGAATGCAGGGGTGAATGCAGAGGCTCCCTCGGACTCTCCATCCATCTGGATGTATAGCTGGCCTGCACATGCAGTGTGTGTGTGTGTGTGTAAGTCCAGAGAAGGACACTGTATATGCATGATGAAAATATCTGAGACGTGAGTGAAGAATATTACCTGATTTTTTGAGGAACAGTGTTGGTGTGACATAGTTATTATGGGAGTCTATACGGTAGAGCAAACCACACAGCTTCTCCTGGCAGTGTCTGGTGACAAATATCCACATGGAGAACATACACCTGGCAAAAAAATACAAAGCACTCTTGGTTAACTGTCCCGAAATAATATCTGCATTACCAGAATAGAAGGCTGGGCTGTATGTGGTGTCACCGTTGTTGTTGTCTTACCATGGGGAAGAGATGGTTTTAACACGCGAATACTCCAGAAGCTCAGCGCTGTAAGGGTTTAGTGTCTTTGTGATACCAAAGCTTTCTCCAGTCGAGCCATACATCGAAGACAGGAGATGCACCGTTTCTGAATGACATGACGCTTTTTGGTTGAGACTACTACTCATCATCTAAAAACACAATCATCCTTTCCAGACCAGTACATTATGGCATAACATTTCCTAAAATCATTAATCTGTATATCTGATTCTTACATTTTGACAGACAAAATTTGGCATTGACTTTAGTTAATTTTTGTCCACATGTGCAGTTTGCTGCAGCTTTAAACTCACCTTGCTCCAAAGGACATTGCTTCTTTGAAAACAGTTGAGTTAATTGCAGCATTTCTGTACTCCAGGAAATGCACAGTTGATGCTGTTTTACAGGTCGACTAAAAAAAGGTTTAGGCCACAACGTTGCCTCATCCTGAGCTGCCACAGAGCTCTCAGTGTCATCAAATCCACTGTATCTGACTGACGCTAGAAGGATGCAACTCAGCACCCCCTGGGAGTCTGGAATAATCCCATCAGCTCGATACACCAACCAATCCGGCAGGTTCAGCTGCAGGGTCTTTACTTTAGGGTGACCGGGGACGCAGCTCCACTGTCTCAGCAGGAGTGTCGAAGTGATGCCAGTTTCAAAAGACACAACACAGTCCAGCTGTACTGTGGCAAGTTCGGCACAAGCGTAGAGTATTTCCAAAAGATGATCCGGCAGAGGCTCCTCCGGAGGATTCAGGAGCGTCACCTCGTCTAAAGCCCAGACGATCTGTGCGAGGCAGAAGACACGCAGGTGGTTGTTAATAATGAAATCTGTTAAAAGCAGAAGGGACCAGTGTGTCACAGATCATGAAGGAAAGCCTGCTCCTTACCTGCATACTGAGACCAAACACGCAGATGTATTTGTGCAGTGTATGGAAACCCATGATTCATAAAAGTGTTTTCATTAATCTCTCCATTAATGATTTTCGAGCTGCGAAGAAAACCAGAAGCCCCAAGATCCGGACTTCATCCTGCTCCACCTTACTGATGTTGAAGCTTAAGTAAATATTTGACAGCACATAGCCAAACCCTGTTTGCTACATACACAGCGCAGTTGGGGTGGAGCTTTGAGAATTGGGTTGCATACTAACACAAGGTAAACTGTTTTCAGTCACCTGCTATGCTGAATCTGCACTTGCATCTGAACTCTAGTTCTTTGTTTTGGGGCAAACTTGTTAAAGTACACTGACATCTTTGAGAAATTCAATTTAAGAGAAGACACCTTTGTTTAAGTCTAAAGATGGGAAGATGTTGTCTTGAGTGTTAAGTGCAGCATGTGGTGTATAACGTCTACGACAAATCAGCTCATCTTTCATTCAAAATAGTTTATTGCTATCATGCAGAAGTGCCATAAAAGTTTAGACCATCACAGAAGATGCAAAATTATCATTTTCTCTGTACAAATATACTGTTTGTATTCATAAATAGCTCAAAATAAAAGAGAAGGAAAAAAAAAAAAGTAGGGTGGGGAGTAACGAATTTAAGCGGATCCACTCTTTTAACCCAATGTAGGTTTTGTTACTGCAGTTGACATGCATCAACATTACAATCCCTTATACTGGAAGCAGACAAACACCCACATATACACACACACACACATTCAGATGGCAGAATCCATTTACAGCTTGGTCGTGCAAAAAATTACAAATGACACTTTAAAAAAAAGTACCAGTAGGAAATAAGATTTTTCTTTTTTTGAAGCTAAAATAAAATATTCAAACATGTCTTATGCATCCAAACCACCTGTTACATTGTGAGGCTGGGGGAGGCCGACTGTGTCTTTTGCAGCACTTTTTGGTTGTTCATCGGTCAGGAGCGCCCTAAGCGTACCGGCGTCTTTCAGTAATCACCTACAACTGCTGATGCATAGTTCTGTGCTCATAAGAAGCCGTCAATATTAAAACTGGCACAATGTTCTCCGTCGTGATAATCTGAGTGTAATTATCTGTAACAACTGTAAACATACTGTACTGATGATACCGTCACGGAAACGATACCCTTTGACATTCATTGTCTGAACTCAGGATATACGTGACATACTGTATGTATATACGTGACATACTGTATGTATATACATCATGTGGTTTTGCGTTGTGTGCAAAAGGGTGCTCACACACGACAAATACAAAGCCCTCTGACAGAGATAGTGATTTGGCACTTTATCGTGATTGGTCTTGAGCTTCCATATGTCAATGTCGATTACAAGGTGGCTGCAACTTGAAAACGTCTGTATTACACAGAGCAAATGATTTTGTCTTGTAACTGTAGCCCTTACCAGCACCCATCTCTTACTGAATAACTGTTTTTGTCCATTGACAGCAGGAGACAAATCCAAGTTAAACTGGCAGCCAGTCAACACGTTGGATGCCATTTATCTGCTAAGATAACAATCCTTAAAAACAAAGGTTTTCTTTTAATAGTTTAACAAAAATGTGCTTCAAGTGTTTTGAGTTAAATCCTTTGATTCATATGTTTTCATGTTAAACACTTTCTCCAAAGTAGAACCCTAATTTTCTAAATCCATAGAAAGCCAGATAAAAGTTCATTGTCACGCAAACTCATTGGTAATTATGTTTTTTTGGTAACATTAATATTTGAACTGGATACTTAATGCAGGAAATTCAAACACCTCCATTAAGACACATGTTCATCCAAATATTAATCAGTGGTTACATTTGTATGGTTGGAAAGCTGGACGTTTAAGCAAAGCACTTCTTTTACTCTAATGTTTTATCCACTCAACAATTAAATACTAAAAATAAAGCAAAAAGGTCTGATGCTGCAGTGTGATGCTCCTTTTGGAATCTATTTTATACACAGTGATCTCATCCAGGTGCTCTTGGATGAGATCAAATGAAAATCATTATAAGCATTTTTTTAATCTATATTGTTTTACACTTTTAAGGAGTATAAATCAAACCGAGAAGCTACTATTGCTGTGATCAAACAGCTTTTAAATTTCACTTTTGTCTGTCAAACATGTACCGAGTCCCAAATGTAACAGTCCGAGCTTCTACTCGTCTGTGTGAGGATCTCTTGAATGTGTCATTTGCTCTGCCAAGAAGAAGACAACAAAAGACAGGAAAAAAAAAAAAAAAAAACGTGTAACTTTCAATAAAAACAAAGTACTCAGTGAGGAACAGGGGAGTGCACATTCACTTTGGACTTGTAGGTTAGGTAGTAATAAAAGAAACATCAAGTATTGTCTCGGCAGGTTAACGACAAGAACCAAGCAAACACTAAGGGCATTCGAGTATCAGTCAAACAAAAGTGAAGACATGCAAAATGTTATAGATTGTAGAACAAGAAAGAAAAACCAACTGGGAGACATCTTTCCTCTGGAGACCGCCACAACTTCCTGCAGAATAAATAATACTTTACATTCCAATATACAAACCCACAAATTCAACATTGACCCAATAAGCAGATAAAACCCAACAGCTGGTTGCTCCCACAATTTCTTAGAGTAGGTGTCGTACCTACAGAAAGATGCAACAAATTGTGCCATCGTTGGACCATCAATGCACCCGCAAACATTTTCTTCTTTCTAAAACAGACCAGAGGAATACAGTCAAACAGCTGTGAAAGCCTGTAGTTCATGTAGCCCTCATTTCCTCTGTTTCTTGAAGATCTTGAAGGTGTGTTTCTTGCGGCTGGCAGTGGAATCTGTGTCTTCTCCCGTGGAGCCGCTGTCCTCCTCCAGCGGGCTCTTCTTGGAGGACAGCTGCGGGATGCGGGTGTTCCCCTTCGCCCCCGGCTGCCCTCCTGTTGGCGACGGTGTGTCAGGTTCAGTGGAGTTGGGGCTGAGCGAGCGGGACGACTCCGACAGACTGTTGATCTCTCCCAGGCTGGGCGACTGCTCCGTGCCGTACACCACCTTCATGAGTATGGGGCTGTCGGGAATAAGGGGCTGCTCTGTAGGACTGAACTCGTGAATGCGGTTCCCTCCGTTGGGGGTGTGAGCATGCAGGGAGACGGCGTCATCTGCGCGGCCGGACAGGCTGTGAAGGAGGGAGGTGGGCTTGATTAGATGGCCTTTGGAGCTGTAGGCAGATAGCCGATCGCCAACTTGAGAGAGGGACAGGGAGGAGTCGGAGTCGGAGCGATTTAGGTCCCTGTGGGAAAGGGGGAGGGACACAAGTTAGAGGAAACGAGGACAATAACAAACCAATACAGATTAAAGTTGAAGCCTTGCATGCTGGGGTTGGGACATACGCTGGGCACAGCCTGGAACTCCACACTTGTTAGTTGTGCAGGCAAAGAACAGGAACACAGAGAGGTTGAAAGTATGCATACATGTAGGTCCTGTAATGCCACATCGGGTACAATGACGTGAAAGAAAAACGATGGAAAGAACACGAACACTAAAGAGAGCAGAGCAAAATAAAATGGACAGATGAAGTTACCAACGCTACGATGCACACAAATGACGGCAGGTGGTATAACACGCATCCACGCACATGCGATGTGTGTGGAGAACCGGAAAGAGACGGGTACCCGAAGCTGTCGCTGTATGAGGGGAGTGCTTTGGAGACATCTGAGAAGGTGAAATCAGGAATGGGATCCATGGGCTGGAAAGAAGTGTGATATAGATGGGAGGAGGAATGAGGGGCTTCAACACCGCCCACAGAGCTGGGCAAGCAGTAGGAAGAGGAGATCAAGGAGGACTGGGAATGAGGGTTTAGGTTGGAGGTAGAGATGACGGAGGGGTGAGACATGGCCGAGGAAAGAGGCAGAGGGACATAATCGAGCTGCCCAAACGACTGGCTGCGGGACTGTCTGAGGGCGGCCCTAGACCTGGAGGGGTATAGGGCCGCCTCCCCCTGCTGCCCCGCCAACAGGCAACTCTCTACCAACCTCTGGGAGCCCATGGCCAGCTGGGGGTCAATGTGGCGTTGGCGCAGGGACATCATACTGGGAGCTGTGGGAACAAAACAACAGCATCATCAACAACTACTTGTGAAATACAGTCGGACGGACAAGGCGAGATTAGTGGAAAGATACTCCGGTGCTGGGATACATTTCTTTTAATGACATTAAACTTGGAATAAGATTACATCTCCACTGATTTAACATAATGAAATTGTGATAAAATCCCAGCACCACTGTTTTCTCTCCTTCACACAAGGACAAATGTTAAATTAAACAAAAAGGGACAAATGGTGACGGTAAATACAATTATTCGGCCATTTATGAAAGGAAGTGATGAATCACTCTGGGGAGAAAGAAGGGGTGCACCGCGTGGTGACGAGGTTTAAAGGGGATAAATGTGGCAAGCAAGCAACTACGGGGAGGTCAGATGAACGCAGCAAGGAGTCGTTTCTCTTTCAGCTGTGTCCATCTGCATCGTACGGTCCAGTTATAACACGCTGCAGCCCCGCAAGGCTTTGAGTCAAGGGAAGAGTCGGGGGTGTCAAACAGAGGACTGGGGGGGGGGGGGGGGGGGGGG